AATGTATCTAAATGATGCTACTGTAAATATACTATCTGAATATGAACTGCAGATATATTTACATTTAGTAACAAAGATGCCAGAACCACTTGTTCCCTTGTTTTTAGCAGTGCTTATTAAATTAATTGAGTTATTTTCCATGAGATATTCCCATTGTTTAGTCTACCCCCTGTAAATCATCAGTACAGTGTAAATGTAAAGTTTTCTGTAATACCAAAAATATGCTTGTCAGTGCTTTCACATAATACTGTGGCATGACAGATTCTGATGTTGTCTCCTCCCTCTCAGGCGGTGTGGCTACAGCAAAGCAAAGCAGGATCCTGAAGAGGAGAAGATGCACTTTCACAACGGTCACAGTAAGTTAAAATAGCACAAACTCATTCTTTGTATACCGTGTGTGTGTTTTTTTGGGGGGGGGGTAAAGTTCATCCAAAGTTTACACTACATGTACAGAAGAGGGTTCAGACAGCGGTCACGTCTGTATGAGTTTGTTCATCACACGCAAGAGTGTGTGTGTGTGTATGTGTGTGTGTGTTACTTTTACCAGTACAGCTGACAGTGTTTTGTACTCTGAGCTATTCTTTGAATGACAAACCAGCTCCATGGCAGCTATCCTGGCAGAGGACACACAAAGCTATGATGATTTATAGGCTGTGACAACTTAATATATTTGGCTACATTTTTGGCATTGGATCCTGCTATCCATCTGTTGGCATCAGAGCCGACCGTGACGGGTACATCAGCTCCGTAGAAGTCAAGAGAAAATACCACGGTGCCAGTATCTGTGGTTTACTGTCAAATTGATTCATAACGTGAAAGAAAATAAAATGAGTGTTAATTACGTATCATGCCCACAAAAGGTTCCCTAGATGCAGTATTAGTAAGTAGTTTTGGTAAGTAATCTCAGTCAAAGTGATGTTTTAAAATGTCGAATAATCATAAAGGACCATGGAGCATGTACTAAATCACATCTCCACAACACTATTAAAAGCCAGAAATGAGCTTGATTAGTGGTAGGAAATATGTATTTATATCAAAATATTAAACATTTTGAAAGTTGACATGAGAAACCAAGCTATTACTTAACGTTAATGGAAAAAGCTGATGTAATCAATATTGCCATAAGTAATCCTGCTCCTTGATTTGCAACGTTGCCTGCAATGGCCTCAAACAACCAGAAATGTTGAAGGGAAGGCTACATTGTTGACAAGTTTCCATTGTCTCAGTAGATAAAATACCACGTCATATTGGCCGACTGAATATTAATGCTGACAGCATGATTAAATGATGCATTGTTATGTATGCATGCATTGTATTGTGGATACAAGCCTGAATACATGTTAATAACAGTAAATTACATCTAAATGGTAATGATGCCATGCATATGTGTCTACAGTAAAGTTCCCGGGGGTGCGTACCTACATTGACCCCCTCACCTATGAAGATCCCAACCAGGCAGTGCATGAATTTGCTCAGGAGATTGACGTCTCATTCATCTCCATAGAGAGGATCATTGGAGCCGGTGAGTCAACTCAGAGTGAGTGAGTGTGTGTGTGGGTGTGTGTCTGTGTGTTACAGAGCAGATTCCGACAGAATAATGTTACAGAATTTATTGTTGTTGTTGTTCATTCTGAAGTGAACCTGTAGCATGCACCGGTAAAATACTCTAACCTCATGAAGGAGATTAATTTCAAATAATACTGTATTTAAATACACTCTATGTACAGTCGTAACAGTAATGAGTTTAGCCTAATTTTGTCATGTTGTATAGAATTTAACAATTTTCTCACTATCTCTATAATAGTGCGCCATATTTTGTTCAGCCTGCGTAAACCTGTCACATTCATAATTGGGCACCATTATTTGGACACACATTTACACACAGTCAATTACTCTAAACACTGGGCTAGAAAATGACAGTTCACACAGCTATAAATGGTGTTTGTTCTCTGCTGACAAACATGTTGATTTGCAACAATTGTAAGTCTCACGAGGTTTCTGGCTGTGCAGCAGTGAAATGGGCTTTTCAGTATAACACTGTGGTTTCTAGGTTCTTATCTGTTGTGATAATGAGCAATGAGTTGAGGGATGCTCGTCCAGTATTTATACAGGAGTCAAACATTTGGTTGGATGGATTGGTAGAGGTGTTGAATAATAGAAATGTGTCCTCTAGGAAATATTTGAAGTAGTCAAAATCAGTATCACCTTCTAATATAATAGAATATGTGCTTGTGTGTTTGTGTTGTTCTATTGGAGTTCTTTGGAGTAATAAGTAGTTGCACCTAAATATTTCTTTTGGGGGGGGGTTCTCCTTCTCCATAGCTTTACTTTTACATCCAAAAGTAGGTTAGGTTTGTTGTCTTGAAATGTATACCTGGGTTTAAATAAAGTAATTAATCAAGACAACAACACAACAGTATAAAGTGAACTTTTTGTATTTAGGTCACTATTAAAGGTTGGTTTCACCACTGAACAACTGCAGCTAAAGGTGGGCTGAAATGTTGAGGCCACAGTTAAACTCTTTCTCTTTGCCTCAGGGGAATTTGGAGAGGTGTGCAGCGGACCGCTGAGGCTGCCCGGGAAAAGAGAAATCCAGGTTGCCATTAAAACCTTGAAAGCAGGTTACACAGAGCAGCAGAGACGCGACTTCCTGTGGGAGGCGTCAATCATGGGCCAGTTTAACCATCCAAACATCATCCATCTGGAGGGCGTGGTCACAAAGAGTGAGTCATCACTTCATCAGTCATTTATCCAGCTCAGCTGTATGTTTTTCTGACTCGTACCATTGATTTCATTAAGTAGAACAGTAATAACAAAATTAAATGAAATTTTTCAGAAAACTCCAATATTGGCAATTTGAACAGCTGATGTGCCTGAAAAGCATCAAGTCAGTCAGGTTAATTATTTAAGGCTAAATTCTACTGTAATGCTGTTTTTGTCATGGACCATATTTTACAGCCACATACAGCATTACTCTAACTCATTAGCTCGCCTATGTACCCCATAAATATTACATCTTAATTTTCATATTCATATGTTATTATACAAGTGTTAAACAAGTCATATATTTTAGAACAAAATAATCAAAAGATATTACACTCCAAACATAGCATTTATTTAAACATGGGAACTGTTAACTATCTCAATATGGGTACTAGAAATTAAAGCTGAGAAAGTACAGCTGCTGCTGCTTATGTACAGTGTAGTCTGAGAGACATTGAGCTAACTATTGACATAGCAGTACAGTTTAAACAGATGAAAACAGGACTTAGTCTGACAAAGTAGACCTTAGCCTGACAATATGAGACCTGGGAAGTCCATCAAAGAATATCTTTCTGATTTGCCTGTGATATATATGAAAAACACTATTTTTTGCTAGTCAGTGTTGTGTTACAGATTTTGTAATATTCTATGTGTTTGTTTAAAATTTATATGTGAAGGATGGCTCAACATCTTTTCCTTCTCTCAATATTTTGTTTTTAATGTTTGTTTTAATATTTATGTTTTTGTTGTTATGTTCTCATATTTTGCTTTACAGGCAAACCAGTGATGATCATCACTGAATACATGGAGAATGGATCACTGGACACATTCCTCAAGGTAGGAAGAGGAGGGTAAGAGACGGGTCAGGGGGAATCTACGGAGACAGTGGATAAAGTTGAGAAGGATAATGGGGACTGAAAAGATGAAGGAGGATGTAATAGAAGAATCAATCAAAAGCAATTGTTTAAGCAGCATATTTGCAGTGTATTACAATGATATGGAGTCAGCTCTCAGACATAGATTAATGTTGGACTGTACTGAAGTACTGATGTACTGGCAATCGGGCAGGGGTTCAGAGTCATCACTTGCTGATATGCCAAATTGGAAGGACAATTATCATAGAGGTGGAAAAACATTTAATCGTCTGGAAAAGGAAAGTACATTTGAGAGCTGTTTATAATGGGGATACATCACTGTGGGCAAAGAGGATCAGGTGGGATGAAATGAGAATATATCCACCAAAGCTATCATCATTCCAATTCAATACCTCATCATTCTACACGTTCAAGCAGAAGTTAACAAGAGAAGAAGATGTGATGGTTACACTAACGTCTTTCAAGTGGATAGCAAAGTTATAGGTTGGTGTGGTTATTATTTCTCAACAAATAAAAAATAAAAAATTTGGGAGAGCAACAAGAAATAAAACTGAATAATCAAACTTCTGAGCCTGTCTACATGGTACAAATATTAAACCTATACTCTGCTTATTTTGAAATGTTTACTAGCCCCGACTGTGGGACAGATTACTATGCCAGAAAATATGAAAGTCATCTGGCCACTCTGGGATGGAATCATGTCTGCACTGTCTAGACAATTTGGACTTACTGAGTGGACAAAGTAAACTATAATGAAGAGGCAGGCCTGCCAATTTCTGAATTAAGTGATCCCTCTCCAATGCACTTCAGTCTCTTTACTGCTTACAATGGCAAGATGCTCAGTTGGTGGGCAAGGCTAAATCCTGCATGACAAAAGGGTAAACTCCTGTAGCAGATGGCTAATAGAGAGATGAAATAAGGTCATACAATTGCAAGATGGTGAAGAACAGCAATTACGGAAATTTGGAAAGGTGAGGATAATGTGGGGCCACTTGGAGGTGTAGGTGTGCTTGAAAGGTCAGACTGGAAAAGACCTTTAACTGAACAAAATGGGAGGATGCTGTGAGACAAAAGACTGAGGACGGGTGTCAGAGATGTGCTACGGGGCTGTGGTCACTGGAAACTGCTGACGTGACTGTCCTGTGTGCCTTGGGGAGTAATCCTGGATGGGGGGAAAAAGGGGAGGCAGAGGAGCTGGGGGACCAGCAGGCGGAGCAGCACAGAAAAACCTGTGAAGTAATTACATGGATGGCTGGTGTACTGAGGCCGGTATAAATGACACGGCCATGGGAGAACGAGGGGCTTGACTGGCTCCTGGATTAAGTGTCACAGCAATGGACAATACACTATAAGGCTCATAACTCACGTACTTGGCTCAACATGTTCTTTCACATGTATGTACAATGTTCTGCTGTAGATGGATAGTTTACATTTGGATTGGAAGGAGCTTAAACTAACAGTGAGAGCTGTGTGGGAGAAAACTAAGAGGAACTTTACAGAAAGGGTTTTCCACCGCAGGGAAAGAGCATTGTTACGGTACTATAATTTACTGTTTTTGTCAATATTTTATGAAGTTTAAAACCTTCAGCCAAATTTTCCTTCTCTGTGGTAGCTGTTTATATACTACACTACACTCCAATTTTGGCACCAATTCTGGGAGGTTAATATTATGTTTTTATAAATTGACTGACTGTGTTGCCTATTTATTTATTTTTCCTTTATTTGCATATTGACTTGTTTGTGAGTGATGTGACTGGAATTAAAGGGGAACCACAGTTTTTACACATCAAAGTCTGCGTTCTGGTGTTGGGGAGTACTAATGTGAAAAAAGCTGTATAAAGCCTTTGCGTCTCCAGAGGGAGCCGTGGGAAGTTTGATAAATTGCCTCTCAAGTGATGTCACTTGAGTCAGCATCAGTTGGGGCTGAAGACTACAAGCCTAAAAAAGAAAAATATCTGGGGGTGTGGAGTTGTAGCCTGATCCTCACCTCATTAGCCGCTACTAGCATAACACACCCAGATCTCTGACCAAACTGTCAGTTGAGTTGCACTGTGGGCAATGTAGGCACCTGGTTTTGACAAAGAAGAATGTGTGGAATAAAAAAAACTTAAGCTATCTGCTGCATTAATTTTAAGTTCCCACAAGAGAAGGCCAGGGCTTGAAGTGAATGAGAAAGGGGCAATGACTTGCTCAAAGAAGACACGGCTCAGTTGGTGTCTGTGCCAGAGACTGACTTCATAAACATGTGGTAGGAATGACCTGAGGTACAAAGATGCACAGGTGATACCAAACTTGGATAGCAATAATTAGTTGGCTAACATCATTACCATGAGATGTAGGCAATTGTAATCATTACAGATAGATCATTTGAAATTTATATTCTTGAAGAGTGAAGGCACCTATAAAGCGGCACTTAACAGAATGCTTAGCTATCATTTTTCAATGCTGAGGTCTTACATGTCCTCTGTCTTTTCCCTTTCTGTGTTATATTGCAAATTGACCCAGTTTTGCAGGAGACACACCTCTAAAAACTACAGAAAAAGCATCAGCTTTGGACCATATTGTTTTTACTGCATTTGTCCAGTCAGTTTTTCAATGTCAAACCACTTGAGAACTCAGTAATCATTACAGAAATATATAATGCAGAATTATAATGCAGTGTAGACACTATGGAGAAGCACTGCATTGACTGTATGCTACATTACTGAAAGCGCATAGGGTATCCCAGGTTACTGTCAGGCAATTAACCAAATCATACGTCACTTTCTTTCAGTGGATTGGCAATATTTAATATATTTTATCTGGTTTTAAACATTTGTCTGTATGTAATATTATCCCCCCCCCCATTTTCTTCCGCTGTCATCTGAACAATCGGTTCACTGTTCTCACACTGTATGTCATATTGTATACAGTAGTATACAGTGGTCAACTAAAGATACTGGAATCACATATCAATTAAAATGTCTTTTTCCTCTTCATCCTTCTTTTCTTCTCAGAAAAATGATGGTCAGTTTACTGTGATCCAGCTGGTTGGTATGCTGCGTGGCATTGCGTCTGGCATGAGGTACACATGAGAAGTCCACACAAACACACAATGTGTTACTGAACACATCATTAGGGCACAGTGTTTAGGTTTTATACTCTCCTTTCTGTTGATAAATGCAGATACCTTTCCGACATGGGCTATGTCCACCGTGATCTTGCAGCTCGTAACATCCTGGTTAACAGTAACCTCGTGTGTAAAGTGTCTGATTTCGGCCTTTCCCGAGTCCTGGAAGATGACCCGGAGGCTGCGTACACCACACGGGTAAGAAGTTTAAAATTTGGTCTCAATTTCCCACAGCCCAAGCTGACGTCTTCAAATCTCTTGTTTTGTCTGACCAACAGTCCAGAACCCATAGATATTTTGGACAATTTGGAACGATATAAAAGCAGCAAATCCTCCCAAATTGAAAGATGGAAATGGCAAATGTTTGGCAGTTTTGCCTAATGAACAACTTAAACAATTAATGCCGATCGACTAATTAGTTAAATTAAACTAATTGTTTGAGTACTAGAGTGAGAGCAAAAGAGGAAAGGTAAACTGGAGGGCACACTGTTGTGTCTTTGAGGACTTTTATATTTAATCCGATGGGTATCTGTGATACACATATGTACGTGCATACACACACACAGACACAGACACACATACACAGACGGCAGCAGCAGGTTTTAAATTGAGCTGTGTGTCCCCAGCTGAGTGGCATCCTGTCAGCCAGAGACGGGCTGCTTCCTTCAGAAGGAGAGCCAATTAGTACTCAGCCCAGTCTCCGCAACACTCAATTAGCACTGAGTCTTGCTGCTGTAGCGCCAAATATCCTGTCACTCACCTCTCACTGCCAGGCTACCTCTCTTTTTGCTCTCTCTCTCTCTGGCTCATCTTGCTGTCCTTCCCTGACAGAGCAGTGAGAATAACATAATTCACACCCTTCAAATAATCAGACCCTGAAATATCCCACCGCTGTGTTCATCAATACTGCATCAACCTAATTTCACTACTCATCAGCTGAAAACACATTTTCCTTTGCAACTCAGCAGTCATCCTGTGAACTTTTCTATCTTTGCAATAAAAGCGCAGTAATGAAGATGAGGGAAACAAGTAGAGGAATCTCCAGCCCCCCTACAGTTAGGACAGGGAATAAAAGAAAGTGAAACTTGGTATCATGAATGTGTTCCTAAATTGGTGTTCATTAGTGTAATTGTGGGTTGGACCACATGTGGCAGAAGGGTCTCAATTAAGTTCTGTCCATGGTTTCCATCTTTGTGTAACAAAATATGAAACTTTTGAATGAATTGTATGTGTGAAAGTGTTTCAATGAGCTTTTGTCAATGTACACATATCAGGGTAATTCCATCAAACACCACAACAGATGGAAGGTTGACATTAGATTTTATAAGCCTAGTTTCCTTTAAATCCACAGAGGTATTTGCATTATCTGGTAAATGTTCTTGCATGTTGTGCAGGGCGGAAAGATTCCTATTCGGTGGACGGCTCCAGAGGCAATCGCGTACAGGAAGTTCACCTCAGCCAGCGATGTGTGGAGTTACGGGATTGTCATGTGGGAAGTGATGTCATACGGAGAGAGGCCATACTGGGAGATGTCCAATCAAGATGTAAGTTTTATGTGACATTGACAAGTTTGATTTGACATTGTTGTGGAAATCGTTTGTGGGCATGCGGTAATGATTTTTGTCAGTTTGAATTTATTCATCCCACAATTCAACCACCATTCATTTTTCACCATTTGGGTGGTGCATGCACAGAAAGCAGGTGTACAATGGCAATGAAATTTTCTAGCACAACTGAGAAAACAATCTCACCAGAAGGGCCATTTAGTAGCTGTCCTGGACCCCTTACAGTCATCCCACATGATCTTCATCTGCAAGATGGAGTTTGCCTACTTGTCATGGAATTGTAATGTTCAGATTTATTTATTTATTCTCACTAATTAACAACGTATATCTTGTTTGTTTAATCCGTACAAAAACCTGAAGTGTATAAACACTAACTCACCATTTTACGGGGAGTTATGTGCCAGACTGGCAGTAAATTCCTGGAGTCTGATTTGACTGGCAAGAACCACAAAATAGTCCAGCCTTTAACCCACCCTCCCTATTTTTAAAGATTAAACAAATGTTATATTTTACATGTTAATTGCTGACTTTTAGCCAAGCTGGCTGTTTCCCCGTCTCCAGTCTTTATGCTAACCTGCTATAAGCATAATTCCCAATGCCACTAATACAATGTCACAGCTTTGCTTTACATTCCTTGGGAGCTGCAGTTGAACAGTTGAAACAGCAGTTTTCTCAACTCTTGTGAGTTGCATTGTTGAGACAGGTCACGGTTGGAGTTTCCTTCATGCTCTTGAGTACAAAGGGTATGTCATTCTCAAATCAACAACTTGTCAGCTAGGGTCAAGAGAAACTCATTAAAAAAGGATAACTAAAAGTTATGCATCATAAATAAAATTCTGTTAACTATCACGGATATTTTCTCATTTCAGATTGCATACAGTATTTCTTATTTCCTTTACTGGAGTGGAAAATCTTAGCACAAGGCTGACTGCATTGTTCCTTGGGAACTTTTGACATGTGTCTAACAAAGACAGCAATGGAGTAATCGAGTAATCGAGTAATCTTTGTGAAGTGTTCGGAGGCCGAATGGGGGTTGATATAGGGAGGTCTGTGCGGGAACCTATTATCATAAATCAATTACTACAAAGTGTGGACAATGAGAATGGAGAGTTTTAGTGGAAACAAACTTTTTGTGGTGTAGAGAAAGGTGTGCATAAGCAATAGAGTGAAACAGGTGCAGTGCTAAGCAGAAATATGTGGCAGGGAAAATATCAAGCTGTAGACCCACTTTGCCTTAAACTTAAAATTGTGAAACTTTAATGTAAGTGAGTGGCTGTAGAGTGATGTACTGGTGGTCGCGATGCACTCAGCAAGTACCCAAATGACCCGCATGTGTCTGTTCATCAGAGGGGAGACGAAGAAGAGTGAGTCGGAGGAGAAGAAGAGGGTGATGAAGAGAGCGGGAGAGGGTAGCACCTACATCATAGTGCGGCCCGGAGGCCATTTTAATGAGGGGAACTGCAATCTTGTCACATGGCGACAAGTGAGAATGTAGCATTTGATTCAGACACCACCGACATGCACTCATTTCCCACCCACAGACACACACAGGCAACATATGCACGCACAGCCCTCCAGTGACCTCTTCATCCCCTGCTTCAGACCCCTCCCTCCTCCTTTTGGTTATTAGGCTGTCTGTCTCAGAGAAGTCTAGAGATGGTGAGCAGTGGAGAGGAGAAGACGTTTGATGTTTAATTGAAAGCGTTATGCTGGATTTTCTCTGATCTGCGCAAGCAAGTGCAGGCTCTCACACTCCTCTAAGCTTCTCTCTCCTTCTGTTTCCCATTTCTGCCCCTTTTCTCCTCGTCCACTCTTTTGTCTTTGTAAAATGCAATCTCTGTCTGTATTCTTTGTTGCCTCCCGTCCGCCTTACCTTTCTTTCTCCCACCTCGGTCTCTCATTTTCTTCCTCTGATCTTTCCTCCCTGCCAGTCAGCTATGTGTAGTTCGTCTCCCTCTCAGCATGCAAGCAATGATTTGATGCTGCGCCTCTCTCCTAACACTTTGGTGCGCGAGTATGTGCGCTTTCAAGCATGCGCATATATTGGAGCACTATCACGTCTGTCTTTTGTGTGAATTTGACACAAGTAAAGGCTGTCATGAACTCAACAAATCAATTCCCTCCAGTGTCTTGCGCTGGCAGAACTAGGCTGAGAACTCCAGCCTGCTTTCCACTGCAGGGTCTAACGGAGAGAGCCAGGTTTATTTATTATTCATCTAACTCGACACCACCACCACCACCCCTGCCGCATCTTTTACTTGCAGAAATTATCAACTGGGCTATGCAGCATATCAAATAAACAAATAATGTTTTTATGATGTGTTACTTTGTTGATCCTCGCGGAGGATTCATTTTTGCGTGCCAACTTCGTGGAGGTTTGAATGTAGGGTCAGATGGAGTGCAGGAGCATCCCTGGAGCAAAGATCAGGATTTTGGGATCACATTTGAAGTAACATCACTTCTGCTGAAGTTTGTTGCGGTCCTGCTGTGAAAAAGATATCAGATGTTCAGGCATCAAAGAAGTGCAGATCAAATCGTGTCATCTCTTCTCTAACATCCAGGAACTTTTGAGCAAACTTTAAAACTGATTATTGCATTTTAAACTTGAACCAAGATTCAGTAACTGCACAGCTTTGATTCTGATTAGTAAAGGCCAGGTCTAACAGGGTGAGAAATTATTTTTCCCCCCAATTCATCAAATTGTTAAATGCTCGTGATCAGTCTTCCATATAATATCGCTTGGTGATGATGTTTTAACCATTGACAACTGAAAGGTAGAGCTGGACAATTAATTGAATTTGAATCACAATTTCCATTTTGGCTTTGTAAACAAGTTTATCGAGATAAAGCTTTTATTGTGCCACATGCCATTTGCAATGACACCTGTTTTGTCTTGTATTATAAATCCAGCGCACCCTCCTGTCCTTCTCTAAAAGCCCAAACTCACTTTCATGCAGACTGTTGCATGTTTACTTCAGCTCAAGCCAAGATGACAGGGATTATAACTGCTACAACTTGCTAGTCACCATCATTAGCTTAAGCCTACGGCATTTTTACGGCACTAACAAATTACATATTATTTATACTAAACCAGGTGTGTTCAGTGTTGATTTACCTGGTCTGTGCTTGTTAAATATCCACTTTGTCTGTGTCTTGTAACGTAATACTGGATTTATACTTTTCTTACTCACTGTTGGTTTAAGTAGCTGCATCTCCCGACAGCACACCGCGGTTGAATTTCAGCGTTATGTAACTTAACGAGTTGTCGTCAACTTGAGTGGTTCACCTGTCACCTGCTCTGCTCAACTCCGTACACACAAACACACACACATGCACAGAGCTTCCCTAGCAGCCCATCCACCCCACAAAGCAGTCAACCTGGGGAAACACTGCATTGCTGTCATCATCTTGCGCACTAATATGCTGTTTAAGTTAATAATATTCAGTTGCTATTTTTTTATTTCAAGGGCTATATGGGATTTTTTGGCTTATCCCATTTTGGGATAATGCATAATCATTTAAAAAAATTAAGCATTCCATTTTAAAAGTTAAGTAAATGCATGATGTAAATCAGCAATCATTTTTAATCATGATCTCAATATTGGCCAAAACAGTTGTGATTATGATTTTTGCCACAATCGAGCAGCCCTGCTAGATGGGAAAATTAGACTGGAGGTTTAGTGTTTTGCCACCACTTAAGTACATAATAACAAAATATGTTTTGCATGTATTCGTATTAAGTTTCATGTATTTTATTATGTTTTATGTTCAATCATGTGTTTCATCTTGCATATAAATTTCCACTTGGTGGGTTTCACTGCTCTGGCTTCTATCTCCTATATTTTTTGTATTAAAAACCAGGCATTTCCTTTTATTAACTTCTAAATGAGAGAAAAGGCAGATCCTTTTGACTGTCCTGTCTGTCTGCAGGTAATAAAGGCCGTAGAGGAGAGTTATAGGTTGCCAGGTCCTATGGACTGCCCTGAGGCTCTGTACCATCTAATGATGGACTGTTGGCAGCGAGAACGCAGCAACCGCCCCAAGTTTGATGAGATTGTCTGCCTACTAGACAAACTTATTCGCAACCCCAGTTCATTAAAAAAACTGGTCAACTCTTCACACAGGTATGAATTCACACCACAAAACATCAATATATCTATTTGGAATTTGACACTTTTTTTTTTTTTAAATATAGACGACATTAGCTTGAATACACAATGCTATTGTAACATGTTATGATAACTTCAATTAAATTTTGAAGCACTATGCAACAATTTATATTTTGGATTTAAGCTGTAGATGGACAACCATTAAATTAATGTATAAGTAAGTTATCATTTTTAACAATTTTGTTAAATGTTTTAATGTATTGAATACTTCAGGAATTAATTCTCACACCTACTTTTAGTAAAAGGCTACTAAGTGTAATATTGTATTTATTTTTTCAAGACAAGATATATGTTGGCTTTTACTTTTGAAAATACATTGTGTTTTAACTGACCTATTCATTCTTAAGTGAATTAAACCCAGCGCTGCAAGCTAATAGACTAATTGTCATTCAGATGAAATGTAAATAGAGTCTCTATTGAAGTCTTGTGTAGCTGCATAATTAAATCAGGATGGGTTTAGTCACTAACTGCTGCATGCTGGCAAATTTTCTTAAAACTACGCATTAGTGTGAATTGTATTCAGTGGGGTATCTTTGGATTATCGTAACATTTGAACATTCAATTACTATTTCCCCACTATGTATGTGCATTGCATTAGTGTATAATGACATGAAATGGCTATAAGGGCTCTGAAGCAGACATTTAGTCAGACAACATCATTACCTTATTTTCTTTGCAGAGATAATGAAATAATGTGAGGTATTTTGTTCTCCTTTGTCTGTTCCACTGACACACACGGAAACACACTTAATAAATCAATGCCACATCTAATAGTCTAATATATGACTGTTAGCCAGATGAAAGGGACAACAGGGTCAGTCCTTGTTCCACATTACTCCTGTACTAGCTACAGCGTGGAGAATATTGTTAGCTAGCATGAACATTTCTGTTTGATAGTATGGAGAGCTCCATTTGTTAACATGAAGAGTGAGCTGAATGACAAAGAGTTTTGAGTGGACAGCGTTTTCAGCTTTGAGTGATGGTGCATAAGTAACATTACAATGCCTCACTGGTAACTGTAAGAGCTTTAGAGCTCAACCATGAGCTTCAAAATGTAGTTGATTGCAGAGTGAATCCCGCTCTTTAACATTTATGATAATGATGTGAAAACAAGGCTAGTGTCTATGAATTCCTTTAATCTGACAATCTGTCATCTTGACAATGGATATTATCAGAAATAATACATGCCTAATCTTGTGCTTTAATTTTATTACTGTCATACTTTTTTTCCTGTACCTCCATCCATGTAACAGGGTTTCCAATCTGTTAGTGGAACATGCCAGTGTAGAAGGGGACTGCAGCACTCGGAGCCAGACCGTAGGGGAGTGGCTCGACTCCATCAAGATGGGTCGTTATACTGAGCTCTTCATGGAAGGAGGTTACTCTTCACTAGAGACAGTGGCTCAGATGACGTCAGAGTAAGGCCACTTAACCACATAAACATAAACATAAACAAGTACTAGGACACTTGGTCATGCACATAGTCACACACAAGTTATCTGTCTCTGAGGTTTCTGCTGCCACCCCAGCGCAATAGAGTTGAATGGATTTTTGTTTGTGGAGCTTACAGCAATCCAAAATTATATTTAAAAAATTCAAAATCTATTTGCCACTCTGTATAATACACAGATCATCAGTTTTTATTGGGACTATTTCTTCAGTAGAACATGGTCCTTGTAAAAACTTTAAACAGACTGACCCTTTAAAAGTTAAAAACATAGTAAAATGACATGATTCAGAATGACAACAATCAAATGTGCAATGTAGTTTGCACTCCCACTCGCTGCAGCACATACAAAACTGCACTCATTTTTCATTATTACTTTTTTCCCCTTTTTGTTAGAAAAGCAATGAACATTGTCACAAAATGTTGTGAAGTTCAAAGCAAAAACTTATGAAACTCAGTTCCTTTTTATATAACTGCAAGCTTTTATAAAGATGAATGCATAACGCTCGAACCATCCAAAAACTACCATATCAGTATATTAAAATTTTTTAAATTGGGTATCGACGGTATAAGAGCTGAGCCTTGTGAGAATATTATGTATTGATTCTCTTATTTGCAAGACTACTGTGTTACACCACCAGTAAAAATGGCATTAAAATGTTATTTGTCTAAAACATTACAAATAAACCTCTGTAATAGCAATACAAGACATGTTGATGTATTGACCATTTTGAATGATTCACGTTACCTGTTATAGGAAATGTTTTAAAGATTGTTTTAAGTACAGTCATTTATTATCACTTGTATCATCTCTTAAGTAAAAAGGGTGTGCTGTTTTTCAGGGATTTGCGAAGAGTAGGAGTGAACCTGGCTGGACATCAGAAGAAAATCATCACTACTATTCAGGAGATGAGAGTCCATATGAACAACACCAATTCGACTGTAAACATCTGATGCACATGTATAGGGACACGCGCACACACACATATATACATACACACAATATATGGACCTAGTATGTGACAAAAAGACTTGCTGTTGGACCTAGAGCGGCTTAGCACTTTCTACGGACAAGGAAACCCAGTGTTAAGGATCTAAACGAGAGCATCCACATTTTTGTGGTTCTTGTGTGTGGAGTTTGCTTGTGATGTCATTGGGGATATTTGACATTGCAGCACAAAAACCAAACTGAACTCAGCTGAGCGGTGCTACATGAAGGGAAGATGATGGTGAGCTTAACTGAACTTAAGTGAAAACTTTTCCTTCTAATTATTCAATTTGTGTGAATGTGGACTCTCTGTGCACTGTTTTGGTTCTCTCAGATCGAGAAACATGAAACATATGCCGCAAATCTGGCTCTGAGAGCAACCAGCACTTTTTTGGCTGTGTCACACATATGGGAGTTTCATGCAGCGTGCTCACACTGAACTTTTTCAGCCTGTCTCAGGTGATCTGAACCCAGTGGATCTGAAAAGTACCAACATTTTCTCTGGAAGTACATTTTCGTCAATCATTGAATTGGACACCACTCTCAGGCAGGTTAAACATGTTTTTATGGACCAACAGTCTTTGCTTTGCCATGCTGATGTGCTTTGGATTTTGCTGTTGGATTTTGTTGACCTTTTGGCAGTTGTAATCCAGCTGTACAACTCACGGAAGATTCAGACTCATATTCGGCATCATGTACTTCATTATCTTACACAGCAATTCTAGACAAGAATACATATTGCCACCTTAATTGTTTAAAGAGGCTGAAATTTAAAATACAACAAAGTCTATGACAAGGAAACCTTCTGGGTCTGGCTTTGTCTTATTGTGAAATGATACAAGCCTTTAGGCATTAGGATTCTCTCTATAACTGTTCTTCTGGCTGAATGTATAGCACTACATAGAGTGCAATGCTCAGTTGCAGGATCAACCTGTTATGTTTTATATGTAAATGCTGTCAAATAGGGATAGAATGTGGCAACCATTCTGGTCCTTAAAAGCAGCTTCTAATGCTGCAGAATATGTTTGAGATTCAGCTGGCTTTCCGTCATGTTTGCTCTGAAAATATGTAGGAATCTCCACTAAGATCCTTATGGGTTCCTACAGAACTCACTCAACTATCAACTCCTAAACCATGCACCATTCAAATTGGAAAAAGTGCTTCATACCGAATGCTTGTAGTGTTTTAGTGATACCTTCACTCAGATTCCCAGGAACCTTCATATAGGTTCTAGCAACTACATCACACATTCAAATCGAATCTTGCAGAACTATTGAGATTCTACTGGAACCTTTGCTCAGACCCCAGTGGATGCTTCAACCAGATTCTGATGAACCCTCACACAGGCTCTACATCAGACATTCAAATGGAGCAGTCACACAGGTTGAAATGGAAATGTCACGTCATGTTCAAAGGCACTTCTATTTAGCTGGAACATCCAATCCAATGGAAATTTCATTCATGGAAATTTATGGAAAGTTCAGTTGATCATGATGGAACATTTGTAATTGAACAGCTTATTCACATGCTCATGGAAAGGATCACAGAGTTTCTAGTGGGACTGTTTACTGATATTCTAATGGAACTTCAGCTCAGATTCTAATGGAATCTCTACTAGGATCCCAATGTAGCCTTCACTTGCGTGTACTCAAATTTTCATGGAGCCTTCACTTAAAACCAACGACCTTCAGGTACCGCAGAAAATCCTCAGCAATCTGTTCAGTTCACCAGAGTCTCCCTCCACCACATGTCTGCCACACCGCAATAAACCTCACTCTTACAGGACTGCTGAAAATAAGGAGGCAATATTGATCAACTTGATAATCATTTATTTATTTATACTTGTTTTAAAAAATTAGCAAAAATGATGTAGACAGTTTGTGTTTGATCGTAATAATCTCTCTTGGACTACTGAGCAGCTCTGCCTACATGTTTTTCATGTATATAATGTATTATATATTTAAAGCAGGGAGCATTGTTTCTGTCTACCATCATGTGGACAAGTTGGTATTGATCAAGCATCTCAAGAGTAGTAAACATTAGTAAATAGTGACAAATATTCTAAATCAGCATTCCTCCTACTTAGACCTGGGCCACTGTCAGGTGGGGGCAACCAGCACATCTGTCCCCATGTAAGGGTGCCCTAAAGGGTATGCAGAATTATAAAATATTCATGTTATGTTGATGGTGATTGTGTTTCATTTAAATTTTTGATGCAAGACCTAGAAATATTTTCAGTTGCCCTAAATGACAATAAATACTCTGTTGTCCATCTAAAAGCTGGAGTGGTGTGCACAGGGATTGCTATATGAACTTCTGGTATGGTTGAAAGGTATACAATGATGTCAATGTCAAGCCCTTACTACTTTGGTATGGTATGTTATACATTGCTACTCAGTGCTTTATTGCTAAAACTTGACCCTTTTCACATTGTGTTCACCTAAGCAGGAATTGAGTTCTGACAGTATATATATATCTTCTTTGCAGATGACATGCTAATATTTTTCTTGGTTATACACAGTGTACTGCTAGAGCGCTGGCATAAGAGTGGAAATGAAATGAGATTGTAAAGATTGTAAAGAGGTGGTATCACTTGACTATGAAAAGCATAGAAAAGCACACAAGAAGAATGTAAGGTTTTAAAGGGGTGTTTCACTTTTTTAAAGAACATGCTTTTAAATACTCAGATCTCCCTTGGAGATCAAGAGAACTCAAAGTGAAAGGCCTCATTAGTGGTAGAAAGCCCCCTCACTTGTGGCATTTAAGCCTTTCAACCTGCTGTCAAAATCAAGATCATACTTCTTGGCTGGTTTCATAAAGGAATGTGGGTAGGGAATGGAATTGTTATTGTTATTCTATATGGGTATATGTTTTTAAAAGTCGAAATATTGCAGTAAAATTTTGCTTGAAAGATAAACATCTGCATAGTCTCTTTACATCTGCATAGTCTCTTTACATTTATCACTTTGGATGTTTGGCTCCAGCTTATACGTTAATATACTATATTGTAGTTTTAATGATTGGGAACAGTAGCCATTAAGGAACATTAGATTTGTAGTTTAGCCACGGTATACTTTTTTAATTCGAGCAGGTCTTATTCTTGTCTTAAAAAATGCAACCAACTCTTTGGCAGTTAAACATATTTACTACATACATAACATATACTGAATGCAGACTATTGTGGCTATGCAGATCTTTAATTTAGCGGGGGAATGCATCAGTAATATGGTGCACCTTTTATATTAGACAATATAAGGCATGTACAGTGAAAGTAATTGTGCTGGGTGTTTTTAATTTACCACCCAGCATGTTTTCAATTTAAGTTTCCTCAGTCATATGAATACAATAACCATTTGATGAAGTTTGACAGTGTTTGGTCCTACCCAAATTTCATGGTATTGGCTTTTATAACCATCCTTTTCAACTTAAAACCTATGCCTGGGGCATGAACAATTGGTGAATAGTACACCCTTATAAGTGCCTCTCATCTTTCAAGCACCATTATTTCCCCCCTGCCAAAATGCTATGCCCCAATTGTGCCCCAACTTCCTATGTATTTACTTTTTGCCAACAATGTCTACAGGCAATAAGAAGAATGTCAGACAATGTGTATGTTGGAACTAATTTAATTTGCACTTTATGAGAAATCTGTTTTCCTTTTGTTTAACTAAAATGTCTATAGTTGACTTTACATTTAAAATTACTATAACTGTTTCCTTATGCTGACTATATCCCTTCATATTCTCAATGCTTCCCATGATGTAAAATTTGACAGTTAAGCACAAGGCATTGGTAATATTTTTGAAAACAAATCAAAACTATATATATGGAAAACAAAAGCATCATTGACGTTGAGCACCATTTCCTTTTGTACGGCACAACGATACACCTTCAGAACGTAAGCACAGGGTTTGACAGTAATCTTTTTGGACAGTTAGCGGAAGATATGATTTTGTACAAAGATCAATAGCATTAGCCCTTGATGTCAACAAACTTCAGCAAGACATTTTGTTTGAGTGTTTGTTGCATTTTAGCATTACCACTACTAAGTACAAAAGTGTGAAAACAGTTATTGATTTGTTGTCATTGCAAACAACAATAAATATACAGTTTATAGATGTTGCTGCGCAAAATATGTTCATTAATTCAAATGATTTATTCTCAGCACTTTTGCAATGGCATGATTTTATCCTGGCCATCTTTTATTAAGCAATTCTCATTTAGCAGGAAGAAACAAAGCACAGCAAACCAGCAGAGATTTATTGATGTGTTGTTACTCGACAATGACTGTCAGCTGGGACTCAACCAGACATTGAAGTGTTTATGCAGGAGCCAATCTTTTAGTGTCAAATTTAAATTACATAACACATTTCATATAATATCTGAATCAACTTGTTTGAAATTGACTTTCAAAAGAGGGTAATCTAATTTCTTGCATTCGTACACATTGGAGTTGGTTGGAATTGGCTCTAGAATAGAAGCACTGCATAAACCCCTGGATATGAGGTTTGACTGAATTCTAGCAGATGTACAAAAGCAATATCTGATCATTAATAGCAAAAATATCATATTTGCATGGGGATATAACAACCATAAAAGGTTGTACTGACATCTGAGTGGTTTTAAGACACTTAAGACACTATCATGATGAAAATCATAGTGTTGGTGTCTTTGAAAACCTCATAGAGAAAGCCGAGAAGTGGGTGGGGTTATATGCGGGCCATGTTAGTAACAGTCCTAATGTTTTCCTTATATTCAATAGTACTATTTTTGACAAGCTGTTTGAGCATTTCTGATACTTATGACTTTTCTTTCCCTTGAATCATCAGAACTCCAGACAATGAGCAACTGTACAAATAAAAAGTCTTAGGCACAAGACTGTGTACATCAAAAGTATTGTTCCTGTTTGCAATGATGTTTAGAATAAGCTTAACTGATTTGACATCAATAGCTGACATCCTTGTCATGGCAACAGCAAATGAGGTGCGTGGGTATTGCAGTATTTTGTGATATTGACAAACCACATTAGGGTCGAACATTTACAGCAGATAAAATGATATTGAAGACTCCAGTGTTTGCGTGCTGAGTAACAATGAGATTTTTCCTAAAAGTAAGCTTTCAAATTTGCAGTTTGAAAAATGCTTCCTTTACCGATGGCCTCACCCACTTCACAACTGTATAGTTAACTTCTCAGGAAGTGGAAAATAGGTACATTTATTGGGTCGTGACACATGTGGTCTTAAGGTAAAATGTGCAGCTTTCACTCAAAGTGTCAACTTTCAAAAGCAGGTCTGCTGTTACTACTATTATTACTGTTAATGGTTTTCCCCAGGTCAAAGACAATGCTCATGTTATCAGTAACTCACACATAAGGTTTTAAACAACTGTTTTGTGATTCTTTGAAAGCACAGTAAAAATACTAGCTATTGATGTGCTATCGGTTTGTCTTTGAGACTGTCATGTATTATGTTTGTGTTGATGTTTTTGTAGTGTGTTATCAGATTCTATATTTTTGCAATAAAGCATTTTAAAAATCATCTTACGAGGTTTTCATTGTTGGTTTTGAATGACCTCACAATAAAATCTGTACTCTAATGTTCTGCTAATATCTGTTGAACGGTGGGCACTATATGACAGATTTAGCCATTTTACCCATGCCAGCAGCATGGCTTTAGGGACTATCTCGGTCTGTTGTCGGTCAGCCCACCACTTTGTTCCAGACTGAAATATCTCAACAACTACTGGATGGATTGCCATTAAAATTTGGTCAGACAACCATGGTCCCCCAGCGGCTGAATC